TTCTTGGGACATAATGAAACCAATATGGGATTTGAAGAAGTCACTCTGACACTAGCCCTAAAAGCATTATTATTATTATTATTATTATTATTATTATTATTATGTTTTGGGCCACACCCAGCAATGCTCAGGGGTTACTCCTAGCTCTGCACTCAGGAATCATTCCCGACTGTGCTTGGGGGACATATGGGATGCTGGGAATTAAACCCATGTCAGCCATGTGCAAGAAAAGTGCTCTAGCCATTATACTATCGCTTTGCCGCCCTCCTCCCAAAGCATTATTACAGAAGCCACTTTGTAGACACAGGAAGTAAGTTCTGATAAGGTGCTCCTGGCATCAGTGCAGGCCCAGAGAAGGCTGGACCTTCTCTGAGAGAGAGAAACTCCAGCAAGAACAAAGCCCTGTGATAAGGAAATGGAGGAGGACCATCAAAAACTTCAAATTTTTCGCCTCGACAATACCATAGCAATGGACTCTTGGAAAAGTGATATAAACTAATGTGTACAAAGGAAGAACACACATGTGTTGGCAGCTCTTGCTGCCCGTGCCCAAGCTACCTGGCACACATTGCGTGTGAACATGCTGCCTGCATCTGCCCTCTTGAGATATGTATCTCTGCTAGCATACATAAGCCTCCCTGTTCTGGGGGTAGGGAGGTCACTGGCTTCTGCACCAGAGATGCATATCCTCAGCCTTCTCTGCCTCTGGAGAAGCCCAGACACTCTCTTGAATGCATTACTCTCTCTCCCCTTCCTCAAAAGTCTCTAAATAAAAGCTATTTCACTTCATTGTTTGTCTCCCACCAAAACTCTTGTGTGAGGGCAAGGCAACCGACCCAAAAAGCCTAGCTAAGGCCTAGGACTGACTTTCTTCTCCCACAAAGAGCAATTCCTCATTCTAGCCTGAGCCCACGGCCTCCCGAGAAATCAGGAGGCAGACAGGGGTCATCTCCCACACCATGCACAACAAGTGGACATCAAGGGACTGGCGGGACATGAATGTTCTCTGGGAGGACAAGAGCCAACTTTCTCTGGTCCCAAATCCTCCGGGTGCTTCCCAGGGTGACAGACGTGGATGGAGAGAAAGCGGTATATTTCCTTCTGGAGAATGCTGCCTCTCTCCTCCCCACCTCACGCAAGTTGTCACCCAGCAAGACTGTGTCACTGCCCCAGGCTGCTGCCAGTGGTTTGGCAGATGTGAACTGTTGCCTCAGGGAAAAGCATGAGAAAGCCTGAGGCCTGAGAAGGATCTGGAAGGACCTACAGGAAGAACATTCCTCTCTCTTCAGAGCTTCACAGATGGAGTGAGGACTTTGGGGGCGTCTGATCTAAGGTTCCTGAGACCAAGGTAGAGGATAGGGGTCAGATCCTGCCCAGAAACAGGCCGCCTCTGCTGGTACCTGACGACACCAGGGAACAAACACATCCTTCACCAAGCTCCTGTCATAGAGTCAGGTGGGGGCAGGGCTAGATCGTGGCTTTCTAGACCCCTGGGGGTGGGAGCAGAGAAAGGAGTTGTCAAAGATGGACCTGGACTTCTCCAGAACATGCCCCAACCACCCCCAAAAACTTTTTTTTTTGCTTTTTTTGGGGTCACACCCAGTGTTACACAGGGGTTACTCCTGGCTCATCCACTCAGGAATAAATCCTGGTGGTGCTCGGGGGACCACATGCGATGCTGGGAATCAAACCCAGGTCGGCCACGTGCAAGGCAAACGCCCTACCCACTGTGCTATCGCTCCAGCCCCCACTCCCTCAAAACTTTTTTACTTAAGTTGGTTTCACCTTCGACTTTTATCCCTTGCATTGAAGGGTGTTGACTGGTAAAGACCAGTCACTTGCCCCAGCTGCTGAGTGACCCACTGGGGATGCTCAAACCACATCCGTCCACCCACTTTCACACTCTCCCTCATTTGGAAGCTCAGTGTTCCCGCTCTACCTCACCCCCAAGCTGAGAGGGGCTGCTGTCATGTACAGGCTTTGCACAGAGTGTGATGGAAGGCATTTTTTTTGTTGTTGTTGTTATCATTGTTTATATTGGTTTTTGGGCCACATCCAGTGATGCTCAGGGCTTACTCCTGGCTCTGTGCTCAGGAATTACTTCTGGAGTTGCTCAGGGGACCATATGGAATGCTGGGATCAAACCCAGGTAGGCAGCATACAAGGCTGCCTTACCCACTGTATTATCTCTCCAATCCCCGATGGCAGACATTTGAGGCCCATTGGTAACTGTGATCTGAGGGGAGGGGCCTCACCTCCATCCACCCTGAGGCTGACAGTGTGCTGGGCCATTGTCTCATGTGCTCCTCTAGCCACCAACAGCTTTTGGGGGAAGGGATTTGGAATGGTGCATGGAACTTGGGGGGACCTGGGCACAGCTTAAGGAAGTGTTTGCCTTTGAGGGGCAGCCTTGCCAGGACTTGGGTGAAACTGTAAGACCGAACTGCACTGCAAAATCCCATCTTATCCATTCAACGCGCTTGGCTGGGTCTTTATGGGCCTCTGTGCGTCCATGAGTATGTGATTGCTGGGGGCGGTGGGTCGTGGTTCCTTCTTTGCTTTGGTGTGTCTCAGGGCTGGCATGTAGGAAGCTGCTGACGCTGGTGCGGAAGGGGCTTGCTCCGCTGGCTCTGTTGGCTGTCGGGGGAGCCTGAGCCTTCTGCCGGAGTGGCCACTGGACCCTGGCAGAGCCAACTCCAGTGATGGAGGGAGCCAGCCCGGCTCTGCCTTATCCCCCATAAACAAAACTTCCCCGAAAGGCAACCAAAGAACCAAGATTAGGGGTAAAGGTAATTTATTTAGTTTTTTTTTTTAAACAAACCAATAAAAACATTTTAAAGTTACATTTAAAAAAGCATTTCTATTTTGAAAGTGTCAAACTCTGAGAATCAACCAGAGTGCCAGCTTTTTGGTTTTCAGGTAATGGCTGTGATGGTTCTGGTGATATTTCCCACAGCAGGCCTCGCCCTGTCCATCTCTTGAGACTGTTCTAGAATCTTCAACTCTTAACTCTCTCTCACTGTCAGATCAATCTGCCTCCTAAGGCCTCTACCACGTGTCCCTTTCCTGCCCATCTTTCCTTTCTTGGTGACCGGCTGCTCTCCCCATTGGAATCTCAGCACCACCAAACTTCCATCTCAAACTCCTGCCTCATCAATCTCTTGCACCCCACTACGCCACGACGCCCCTAAACTTCACCTGCAGCCTCTGGCCCAGCCCTGCTTGCACCTCCTGGTTCACCAGCCCTATTTCAGTCCTGGTCTTAACACCTGCCGTGGGCTTTTAGTTTCCCATCTTCACAGCTGTCCTGCCTCAAACCTGTTTCCATAGGCACAGAGGTGGACACACCTGAAACAGTAAACATGCTTCTAAGTTCAGGGGAGGGGAGTGAGGGGAGGTGTGGGGGTGGGGAGGGGAGGACCCAGGAACACCTCCATACTGCCTGCATGCCTGGAGATGCCAGGCTTTGTTAAGGGGAGGGGGCCTTTAGCACCCAGAAAACAAGGTCTCTGAAGGCAGCACTGGGCTTCAACATCCCTCTGGTGAATTTCTCTGACCCTGTGCAGCCCTCAGGGCTGCACGGCCTGTGAGCACTGAGACACAGGCTGGATGCTTGGAATTAGAGATCCAGGACAGGCTGGGACTCTGAAGAATTCCAGGATGGCTGCTTCCCCGTGGCAGGGTGCGGGACACTCAGGCCTCCCTTTCATCCTATGAGCAAGATTTCTTGGGACCATCCACAGATGTGGATGCTCATGGATTTGCCTACCCTGAGTAGACTGCAGGCAAGTTCAAAAGCCAGTTAGGGGAACACTTCAATCACACCTGCAAACCCCAAGGAAGGATGCCTCCTGGTCTCCAGCCTGGCATGGGATCAGCCCTGCGCCATTCATTCTTAGGGTCCCACCAAAGTCCCCTGCTCTGGGGTGGGGTGGGGGTGGGGGAATCACTGATTGTGGGAGCGCCCCCTACGGGCTAGGACAAACCACTGTTTAGTAAGTGGGCAAAATCCAGAGCTGCTCTCTCTCTGCACTGCCCAGCCAGCCTCCTGCCTCATCAACTCGGCTTCCAATGGGTGCCTGGCAGAACCCCACAATCCTTTTCGAGTTTCATGGAAAGTCCAAGAACTGGCTACAGGGGAGCAGCAGGGGACATCACCCTCCCCCACACCAAATGTTATTCAGAGAATATATTCCAGATCCATCCACCTTTCACCAACACCTTCTCCCACCTCCGGGTTCACCCAGCTATATATTACACTTGACAAAATTCATCTCCTTTTAAAAATAACCTGGCCCGCTGAGATCTGCTCAGGGCAATGCCATTGCAAAGGCTGTCATTTAAAATCAGTCACAGTCGAAACAAAGCCAGTTGCAAGAGAATTGTCCTGATGGCTCGCAAGGAAATGGGTTTGCCTCAACCAGGCTGACCACTGGGGTGGAAACTCAGGAGCAGCCTGGCCCCGGCAGACCCTCCACCCATACCCCCACCCCCAAAGAGACAGAAAATAAAGAGGCAAAGTTTTGCTTCATAGCCAGGCGGAACAAGACACATTGTAAATAAATAAGGGCTCCTCAACTTGTGTGTGGCTAGGGAGCTCCCAGCTGTGTGTAGGGCTGTGGTGCACACCCAGTTTCTCAGAGAGAACCCTGTTCTGGTTGCTCACAAGCTGTGTCCTGCTTTCCCCAATTACCCTGCGTAGCTCGGGTGGGTGCAGTGAGAGAAGACGGAATTGACCAGAGGCTAGTGATTACCCCAGGTTGGTGATCCCCCCCACGGGCCATCCCATCAGCTGGCCAAGCAAGGAATTGGTGACAGTCCCTTTGCTTAACTGGAACTGGAGCCTTTAGAAGAAGGGCATGAGTGAGTGAGACATGGAGTGGAGTCCGGGGGAAATGCAGGTCACAGGCTAGCTTCCCCTGGACACCTAGGCTACTTCTTTCAACTTCAGTCCTGGGTGGGGGAGGATAGGGGGAGGGTTCTGGGGTGGGGTGGGGGTGGGGTCTTAGCACCCGAGGCCGAAGTCAAGCTGTCGCAGCATGTCCTGCAGAGAGCCCTGCAGCCTGCTTAGGGCCACCACCTCCGTGGAGAAGAGTGAGGCTTCCAGGAGCCCATCCAGGCTCTCCAATGCCTGCAGTTCCCACGCCTTGGGCAAGGGGCAGTTCTTGGAGGTGGCCAGTAGGCGCAGGAGGTCCCGGAGATTCTCCAGGTCGTTGGTGATCTGGACGACGTTTCTGGAAGGCAGGTTGGCGAGGATCTGCTGGTAGGTGGCCAGCGTCTGGTCCATCGCAGACAGACTCAGGTCAGGGTGAAGGCCAGGGATGAAATCCAAACCGGTGACTCTCTGCTTGGAGGAGACAGATGGCTGTGTGTGAGGAAGGAGAGAGTGGGAAGAGTTCAGTGAGGCTGGAGAAAGTCAGGGGGGTCTGGGGCACATAGCAGCTCTGGTCAAGGGCCACGAGGGCCACATTCGGTGGGGTTGGCGGGGGCCACGCAGGGTCGGGGAGCAGCTCAGGACCTCATGTTCTCTGCCCTTGAGCCCTACCCAGACTGTTCCTGGCTAGAGATAAGGTTAGCGGTTCTTGGGGGGCGAATTGTGGCGCTGGGGATCTAACCTGGGTTGGCCACATGCAAGGCCAGTGCTCTACCTGCTGTCCTATCTCCCCACCCCCACCCCTGATTTCTCTACCACTTATAGCAGTTCTTGTACCGTGACTCCCTCATTCTTATGTTTCGTTTTTTTTTCTTTTTTGCATTTCTAACATTTGAACCCATGGCCTCAAACATAGCAGGCCTCTGTCTACCACTGAGCCACGTCCTCTGTGGTGCTTAGATAGTTAAACTCTCTTCCTCAGACACGAGGATCTCCCCCAGCACCCCTTTTTCACTCCCTTGCACCCCCAGCAGACTCCTCCCTCCCTGCCAGTTTCTCCCCTCAGTCCTACACTCTATTTTTTTTTTCTTTTTTTGGTCACACCCGATGATGCACAGGAATTACTCCTGGCTCATGCACTCAGGAATTACTCCTGGCAGTGCTCGGGAGACTATATGGGAAGCTGGGAATTGAACCTGGGTTGGCGGTGCACAAGGCAAACGCCCTACCCACTGTGCTATTGCTCCAGTCCAGTCCTATAGTCTTAAGGGTGATGGTGTCCCCATAAAGCACCTCACTGTCAGCTCCAAATTCTACCATCAGGGGGGACATTGAGATGACCCTACAGGGCTGGTGTTCAATTAATGCAGGCTGGAGGCTTCAGGTTCAATCCCCCAGCACCATATGGTCCTGCCAACACCACCAGAAGGAACCCCAAAACCGTGCTGGTTGGAGTACCTGAGCACAGTCAACACACACACACACACACACACACACGCACACACTCGGGTTTTCCTCTGTGGAAAGCCCCAGATTCTAGTTTGGAGCTGTCTTAGCTCCTAGCCACCCTCTTTCTACCTGGCAGCACAAGGATACAACAGTGGCTGGGAGGCAAGAGACTCCAGATTTTCCCTTGTAGGACGAAGGGTCTGGGAATCTGTAGCTGCAAATCCTCTGAGTTCACGGGGCACTGCAGGACACACACACACATACACGCACATATATACACACATGCACATTCACATACAAACACATACATACACACATACATACTCCCATACATGCACACACAAACACACACACATACTTACACGCAGTCACACACACGTACACAAACACACATACACACATACACTCACACACATACACACACTCACATGATCACACTCACATACACACTCACACACTTGCTTTGTCTCCTGGAATCTGAAGGTCTTGAGGAAGATCCTGAGTTAGTCTCAGGATCTAACAGGTTTCTAGGTTTTGACTGATTCTGACTCACTACCTCCTTTTCAGGAAACTTTTTTGAAAAGACCACTCAGCTCAGCATGCCCACCCTCCCCATAGACGCCCAGATCTCTCATCATTGAGAAGCAAACAGAAAGAGTCCCATCCCCCTGTTACCTGAGGCTACAATGAACCGCCCCATCATTTCAGGACCAGCCCCCACCTCCTTCCCACTTCCCCCTTCAGTGATACTGATTTAGACCAGCTGGAAGACACTGAGCTCAATGTTGCCACTCTGGGCAACAGCCTGAAAGAACTTAAGATCTTGGGGATAGAGCAGGCGGCTGGAAATTCACAGCCCCTCCGCCTGCTGTCCAGAGACAGAGCTCACAGAGAGAACCTGGGTGATCCCCAAGAGCTGAGTGAAGGGGGAAGCTGGCTTTGTGGAGTCCAGGAGGAGCAGCTCAGGGCCAGTGCTCTCAGGAATCGTGCCCACCCTAAGCGCATTCAGGAGACGCCAGAGAGGCTGGGGCGCTGGTTGCCTGTGCTCCTGGGCTCTGGGCGAGGAAGGAAGGAAGCCACGAGGCTCAGGTCACCAGGCCCCTCTGTGTTCCACAAAGAGCCTGGGAGCTCCTGAAGAGACAGGGTTGTGTCCCTTGTGCCTCCCCAGACCCTCCGTACCTTGTGGGAAATGTCAGTGATCCTGGTGGCGATCGTCCTGATGAGGGTTTTGGTGTCATCCTGAACATCATGGATGGGTGCCGCATCTATCAGATAGGACCAGAGCAGCAGGAAACAGCACAGAGCTCCACAGTGCATGGTTCTTGCTGGGATGGGCTTCTGGGGTCTGGGAACAGGGAACCTGTGAGTTCACATGAGAACACAGGAGGTGAGGCTGGAGGGTTGGGACAAACGTCCCGATGCTGGCCTGCCATGAAGTTGCGGCTGAGATCCTCGTTCTCCAGCACTGCCAGGCACAGCCCCTGAGCCTGGAGCCAAGAGTGGCCCCTCAGCATAGAGCCAGGCATGGCCTCTTAGCCTGGAACCAGAAGTGGCCCTTGAGTCCAGCACCAGACCTGGACCCTGAGCCTGGAATCAGGTGTGACCCCTTAGCATAGAACTAATCACACACGGTCTCTGAGCTTAGAACCAGATGTGGTCTCTGAACATCAGCAGTGGCCCTTAAGCCAGCATCAGGCCTGGATGCAGAGCCTGGAACCAGGCACGACCCCTGAGTACACAGATGTTCCCAAGTAGGTCCCTGGCAGCTCCTGCGCATCCAGGAGCCCCGTTAATGGCCACATTATCAGACACACTCGCAATGAAAGCTACTTGCAACTCTATCATCCCTCAAAGACAATTTATTATCTAGAAGTGCATGAATGAAATGCGGTCCCCGGGGGGAGGGGCGCGACCTATCAATAAAACCAGGATGAGGCATCTAATAGACTGCAGAGCCATCATTCGGGGCACGGTCACCGGGACACGATGAGGATGGGTGACTTCATCTCACACTTGACGGAACAGAGCAGGCTTTTAAGGGCTGGTGCCCATCCAGACATTCCGCAGCTGCCTGACTTCAGGCGTATCACATAAGCACTAAAAACTCTACCTTTGTCCTCTGCAATGTACCTCTTTCCAGGCTTTTATGAGGATCAAATGAGATAATGCACAAGCAAGAGCCTTTAAAAGGTGCTGAGAAATGGACTCGATTACTAGGCTATTATGAGACATTAGGCTACGTGTCCTCTCCATTACTCTGGGAGCAGCCCACGGAGAGCTCCGAATGGCATTTATCACTCTCTTTCTTGCTTCCTTTCCCTCTCTGAATCCACCCAGCCCTCACTGAGGACCTGAGCATGTGGGCGCAGTGCTAGATACCAAGGAGACAGAAACAAGAACGGCTACAGGGCTGAAGTCATAGTCCCAACAGGTAGGGCATTTGCTTGCACATGGCCAACCTGGGTTCCACGCCCGACACCCCATATGGTCCCCTGAGCCTGCGAGGAGTGATCCCTGAGCACAGATCTGGGAGTAACTTGAGCACTGCTGGGTGTGCCCCCCCAAATTAAAATATAATAATGGCTGTTCTCCCCACCTCAAGTTGCTAGTTGCTAGTAGAGTCACAGGAGAAAAGGGCAATATAGGAAGAAAGTGCTTTGCAAGGAAAAGAGAATATTGGAGCACACAGTGGGGCTTCCTAGAAGAGGAGTCACCTATTGTAGTAAAGGTGGATTTAGCATAGAAAGTGGCTTTCCTAAGTTAATAGGAAATCAGCTGGTGCAAAGAAGGGCATGAAGGCAGGAGAGAATATATAAAAGGTTTGCTTAGAATGCTTGATGTTCCAAGTTGTGGAAGCATAAATCCCTGAATAATATGCAGCTCCTTGATTAAGCATGCCAGCTGTAACGAGATACAAGAGGCAAAAGGTAATAAAGCTAAATGTGTGCAAGTCCATGGCCAGCAGTCCGTGCTAAAGACGTGAGGGTAAGTCGGAAATAATCATCAGATGTAAGTAAATATTAGGACGAAGGTTGGGGAGACAATGGAATAAGTTCATTTATGCCTTTGTGTTCTGTCTCAAATGGATAAAAGCAGGTAATGCGTGTTCTGTCCCTGGGTGATAATATTAGTATGATTCATGTTCGGACAAGATAATAGAGATAAGCAGTTGCTTTATACATTATTTATAACATTTCATCAAGGCATGCTTTTTTTCATCGGGTTTTCTAGAATAGGGGAAACACAAGGAAGATGAGTGACCTTGCTTACAGCTAAGAAGGAGAGCGGGGATTTTACTGAGGGTTGCTTAAGCCAAAAAGATGAGGTGCCTTCTACCCACACACACCATTTCTCCAGCCTTTAGGGAAAACCCCACATTACCAGATACCCACAGGTCCATCAAGGCAGGTGCTGTATATACCCTAGTCTAGAATAAAGCTACAAGTTTGTATCCCAATACCCACTTCAATTACAAAAGGTACTCTCAAGGGGTGGAAGACAACACAGCAGCTAGGGAGCATGCGTAGATGTACTGGATCTAGAATAGCATCCCAGTACTGTGGGGTGGCCTGGGTGGCCTGCAGTCCCTGACACCCGGCCTATACAGAATCACATCCTCAGGTCCTTCCAGGACCTCTGGCCTGGATGGCAGAGAATCACCAGAGGATCCCCGGAGGTCTCCTGAGCACTGCCTGGGATGTCCAAACCAAAAAACAAAACAAAACAAAAAACAAAGCAAAGCAAAACAAAACAAAACATACTCAGTAATTTGGGAGGGCAGGAGTACTTCAGGTGATTTTATCTTAACTTCTCCCATAAAAATCTGCAAGTCCCTCTTGCTACTTGCTTAGTACCTGAGTAACTTAATGTTTGTGGATTGGGTTGAACAGAGAAAATCCACACTAGGGTTTCATGAAACCTTAACAAACCTGGGTGTCGAGGTGGGGAATTGGAATGAGGTCCCCCAGGGCAGCAAGGGGCGCTGCCTTTATTGGATGCATGTCTCCACTTCCTGAAAGCATCCATGCCCATGGGCGCAACAGAATGCAGATGGATTAAATGGTGCTACTTTGCTCCAAAATGAAATGAATCTGACGCTCCTGACCCAGTGTGCTGCTGAAGGTAGGAGATAAGTGTGTAAATGTTCCCTTATATGAACCAGATCCATTTCCATGCAGGGTCCGAGACAAGCAATGCTTCCTATAGCCAAAGCTGAATCAATCCCATGTCCTGAAGTCTCAATGGGTGTCTGGGATTTCTGGGGCTTCCCCCCATAGGACAAGAGCCGGACCCATTTCTAGGATTCCTGTAACTGACACTCTCCTTCCCAAGAGAATTTATTGCCAGATTAACTCCAGTCACGGTCATGATCAGGCCAGGCCACCGGGTAACATCCTAGTGAAAACAGTTTTACAAGCCCCTTCTATTACTGCAGATACTAGACTAGACTCCGGTGGAAGCTGCAAAGAGATTACAGCTCTTTGAAACATGGACGTTAGATGCAGTGGCTGTGTGTGTTGGCCTGAAAGGAAGGAGAGAACGGATTTATGGGAGCACCCAGGGGCTGGGGAATTGCAGGGAGAACTCATAATATCCACCGGAGATCAGGGTGATTGAAAGCAAACCTGATCACAGACACACACAGACAGAACACAGAACTCAAGCTCCCAACATACATCACACAAACACGCAGCACACAGACTCTCTCTCTCTCTCTCTCTCTCTCTCTCTCTCTCTCTCTCTCTCTCTCTGTGTGTGTGTTCTGCGTCACACCCAGTCATGCTCAGGGATAATTCCTGGCTCTGTGCTCAGGGATTACTCCTTGTGGGCTTGCGGGGACCATAGTAGCTCCTAAGCACCACCAGAAATGTTCCCCAAACCAAGAACAGAAACAAATCACACACATGGCACTCAAGGATGCACATACATAGACTCCACCTTCCTGCCAGCTTAAGGCAGCCCTCAGCCTTGGCTGCAGAGCCCTTGCTCTCTCGGAGTCTTCAGAGTGGCTGTGAAGAGTCAGGAGTGTTCTACAAGTTGGCGGGACAGCTGTGGAAATGTCAATAGAGCACCCTGGCTCTTTCATTGTCCTCTGAGCCCCATTCGAGCAGAGCCTGGGGAGGGGCAGAGGTGCTGGGGAAAAAAAGCAGGGGTCCAAGGATCCTGTAGCTTGCAGGGGGGAATGTGAGGGGAGGGCGACCCACTACCACCACCGGCTTCTAGCACCCAACGCCTCTGCTCTTCCTTGGCCACCTGCTCACCCTGCTCGCTCAGGCCTCAGGCTGACTCCTTCTCTTTTAATTAAGACTCTGCCACTCCCCACACCCCCTCCCTGCAGGAGTGCACTGGAGAAGAGCAGAGGAAAGCCAGACAATGGAGCCACAGGCAAGTACTACATAATAAAATGTAATCACAGAAAGCAGGTCCCTGGGTGCGCGGGAAGCCCAGCCCGCACCACACCACACCACACCACCGCAGACACAATTTCCTGCTCTCTGACACCACCTGGGTCCTGGGAGGGGGACCCACCTCCACTCACTCTCCCAGCCACTTTGCCACATCCTGTTTCCTCACAGAAAGCTGCGACCCCCACCCCCTAAGGAGCTGGAGGTCACCTTCCTGCTGGTCCTTGGGGGATGAAGAGACTAAGTGGTATGTGTGTGTGTGTGTGTGTGTGAAGTAGGGGCAGCTTTTTCAGCTGGGCAGCTCTGGAATACCTGGGGTCTCCCTATTTGCATGCAGAGTAGCTGAGAGACCCCAGGCTCTATCTGGTCACTGAGGGATGAGGTGATGGGCACTGCTGAGGTCCAGCCTGACCTTCGTCCTGGGTCCTTGCCATTCTGCTCCTGGGTGCTGCAGGGTAGGTGCTGCTGTTCCCAGCCTTCTGTGTGACATGCTTTTGCCCTTATAAATTCGCTTGACTGTCTCCAACTTTCTGAGTGTATTCCAGGAGACATATAGGCACATGCATGAGAAGTATAAAGAAATAAAATTTTAATCGGGGACTGGGGCTCCTCAGCGGGACTCAGGGGGCCCAGAGGCTACTCGGGGCAGCACTTGGCCAACTAGCCCTGCTAGTTCAATAATGGAACTTGAGAATGTGGGGTTTCTTGGGCTAGGAGTGCTGCTGGGCACCAGAATCACAAATGACAGTACTGGGGGGAGTTATGATGAACTCAGTGCAGTGCTGGGGATCTAATCCGGGACCTGATATGAGCAAGGCATTTGCCCACGTACCAAGAAATAAAATTCAGGGGCTGGAGCAATAGCACAACGGGTAGGGCGTTTGCCTTGCACGTGGCCGACCCAGGTTCGAT